TCTTCTCTGGCCACAGGGATTGGCTCATGGAGGGCACCTGATTCTAGCTGGACCAATGAGAGCAAACTCTTGATCCAAGGCCCCCAGCCAGGCTGACGGCCTTGTGGGCACCATGGCCCAGGGTAGGCCAAGAATTCCCCTTTCCTCTCCTGGCCCTGTGCCCACGTGCAGTGCTTGGGTCTTCCCTGGCCTCCTTGCCAGACCCATGGCAGCGCCACGAAACTCGGCTGCCCCAAGGCAGCAGGCCGGGCCCTCCTCTCCAGGCCACCCACTCACCACGGAGGATGCGGTACCACACGCGCCCGAACTCGCCCTCGTCTGCGTCTGTGGCTTTCAGCTAAAGGAGAAAGAATGAAACACAGTTAATTCCTCGAGGCAGGGAGAAGCCCACGAGGCCCCTTCCTTCTTCCACCCGTCTCCTTTCTCTTCTTGTTCAGACCTGCGCTTTCCCAGCGATACATGAGTCGTGCTCGTGCCCCATGAGGACACCCAGCTGGCGATGGCCCCTACTGCCCGGCCCTGCGCAGGTCTGTTCCTGCCCCTGCCCCTCCTGCAGTTCTGGGGGGATAGGGAGCAGGCACCCGGCAGCACTGCAGCTCTCTGGGTCCTCCCACACCTCCACAGGTCCCCCATTAGCCTTGAGATCCTGGTGCTTCTTGCCCACTCCGTGGCCCTGAAGTCCCTCAGGCCACTCGAGCTGGGCACTGCCCATGGTGATGAAGCCCATGAGGTCACCTTCCTGGCAGCTGCTCTGTGGTTGTCCACACAATACTCCTCTCTGCCTCCTCTCAGATCCCTCAGATCCCTGGGCTGCACTGGGGCTTGGGTGCTGTCTTGGGCGCATGCTGTTCTGACGCTGAGCCCCTGTCTGACGCTTTGCATTGGTCACGGGGAATCTGGCTCCGAGGCTGCTGCAGAGCAACACCGGCCCTGCTGAGCTGCTCTGTGCTGCCCTAGCTGCTCCCCTTTCTGTTCTCACCACTCCACATCAGCCCTGGCGTGTGTCCTGGAGCCACCATGCTCTCTGTGACCCCACCACTGTGGCCAAGGGGGCTGGGGCAGGACTGGGTGCCTTTGCTGGGAACACACCCTTTGCTGGGAACTGGGATCCTAGGCTTAGGGAGCAAGTCAGGCCTACAGGAAGGTCTAGCGGCAGCATCACTCTGAGTTGCCCTCCACCACTGACTCTGCTGGGTCACGCAGGCCTCCTTGCAAAGCTAGATCACCAAGTGTGTGCTGGCCACAGGGCCTTTGTCTATGCCATTTCCTCTGCCTGACACACTCGCCTTGCAGATATGTGCCTGCCCTTTTCCTTACATCCTTCAGGCCTTTGTTTAAATGCTAACTTGCATGGGCTCTCTCTGAATAGCATGCAGTCCTCCATCCACAGCTCAACCAACCAGTTAGAAAATACTTCAAAAAATCTATACTGCATAGGCATATACATTTTCACTTGGCATTATTCCCTATACAATTCAGAACAACTGCTGACCTCCCAGTTACACTGTATAAGGCATTTTTCATAATCTAGAGAGACTTAGAACATGCAGGAGCAATGGAATATTACTCAGCCATAAAAAGGAATGGAGTTCCGTCACCTGTGAGAACAGATGGAATGAAGTGGAGGAGGAGCAGTTAAGTGAGCTAAGTTGGACACAGAAATCTAAATATCACATGACCTCGTGTCCATGTGGAAGCTGAAAAATTGGTCCCAAGATGTGGAGAACAGAACTGTGGCTCCTGGGACTGGGGAAACATGTGGGGATGGGGAAGGGAGAGAGGATGGTGGACAGGTGCAGGGTGCAGGTGGGTGGCAGGAGCAGCACCTGTGCCACGGTGTGACTCCATTGATGTTGACAGCGTTCGAGTGGACACAGTGGCATCTCGGTTCGTGAACTTCTTCCTACTCTTCTGGTTGCAAACTGAGTTGGGTGAGCATCGAGTCCAACTTAAGGCTTAGGGTCGGGGTTGGCCTTACAGGGAAATCGGACTCGGTTCTCACCCAGTTCGGCTTGTGACCAGAATGGTGGAAAGAATCAAGTTTAAGAAGCGCTGTGCTTCAAAACAATAGCAGAGAACTTTGAACGTTTTCAAGAAAGAAGGAGAGGTAGATACGCTCATCTCCCTGATCTGATCATTCCACGTTGTACACCTGTACTGAAGTGTCACAATGTCCCCCATAAATGCGTACAATTAGAACGTGTTAATTAAAAATAAAAATATACTTAAAATAAAAAGCACACAAGAGGTAGTGTATAAGCTACATATATGTGTTTTGATATTGGGGTGTCCTGGAACCTGCTGTCCATGCAGACACGGAGGGACAGCTGTCTCTGAGATGTGGTCCCACTGTGTTCTCAGCCCTCTTTCCCTGCCCCTCCCCCCCGCCTCCAACACCCTACACCTTGTCTACTGCCTCTGTGTGCACTTACATCCTTGTCTCTAGAAAAATGAGTAGTCCAGCACACAGAAGGCTCACATGTCAGTTGAATGTTGATGGCTCAGTGCAAATCTCCAGTGCGGGGTGCCATGCCTGATGATCAGGGAGCACCCCACACCACAGTACTGCAGTGTTGGGGCCCCAGATGCTCTGAAGCTCTCCTTCCCCTCAGAGCTTGCACCTTGGGCCTGGCCCTAGCACATGTCTCTTTGAGCCCAGGTCCTTTCATTCTTGTTTTGTTTTCTGTCTCCTGGAGCCCTAAGCAGGCCTTCCTCTCTTTGCCCACTGGAAAACCTCCTGAAAGAGGGCAATGGGCTCCTGCTTGCAATGCGCAAGCCAGCAGAGGCCATGGACAGCGGGACTTGCTTCTGGTTCCAGAGGCAAGGTGTACACTGGAAGGTTCAGGAAGATCTGGCTTCGCAGAAAGGGTTGGGAAGAATAATAAGCTGGGAGCATAGAGAGCACAGGGAGGCTGCTGAGGGCCAGAGGGACTGGGGACTCCCTCTGCCTGTGCTGGGAAGTCCACACCAGGGACACAGCATAGGGAGCTGGGTGGAGGGTGAGACCCTGACAACTGGGCTTTGTCACTTACTGGCTGTGTGATATGGATCAGTACTTTAACACCCCAAACCTTAGAGGAGGTGAAATGCAAAGGAAGCAACTTCCTTTGCAGACATCAAAGTCTGACCTGCAACCAGATGCATCCCTGCCTTCTGTTGTATACCAGTCCCCCAAACTGTGTTAGAGGCCAATAGTCTTTTTTTTTTGGCTGAACTGGGGATTGAACTCAGGCCCTTGCGCTTGCCAGGGAAGCGCTTATTCCACTAAGCCATCTCCCTGGCCCCAAAAGGCCAATAGTCATAAATAGTCCTAGGATTCACACTTTACAGAAACCCCTCCCTGACAAGCGGGATGCTCTGGTCTTTTATGCTTTCTAATAAACATGCATCTGACCATTCCCCAGCACTCATGGCTCGCTGTTTTGTGGGCTTCAATCTTCACTACCCCCAAAGCAAGGACGTGAGAGCTAGAGGGAGCTGGTTACAATCCCAGTGTGCATCTTGGCTTTGTCACTGGCTCTATGATACAGATTGATAGATCAGTACTTTAACACCCCCGAGTCTCAGCTTCCTACCATAGCCTGGGCAGTGTTGAAGGAATGGGGATACACAATCCTGTGATGCCTCTGCCTGGTGCCAACACAGGATGAGGTGCTGATGGCTTCTGCGGCCCTCTCTAGGGAAGCCCTCTTGGTTGACACTGGAGTAGGGACAGCTGGGTCACCACTTCTTCCTGTGAGGTCTAATGAGTTCTGGTGGTTCTGACAGTCCAGATCAGGGAAACTACAGGGCAGGAAGGCCAGAGCTTCCCAGAGGAAGCCTGAAAGGTCCCTCCATGCCTCCCTTCCTGGTGCCTGCACCACCTGGAGGTCTGTCCCCTGCCATCTCAGGACAAGGTCAGACAGGGCTAGGAAAAGGAGGGTAAGGAAAACGAAGATGCGTGGGCTGGGTGTTCTGAGTACTGGGACCTGCTTTTTGCCTGATGCTGTTCATGACAAGTGCCAGGAGCCCTTTCAGTTCAGGGACATCACCAAACCTTGCATGTCCCTAACTTGCTGGGTGACGCTAGGACAGCCACACCTCTCTGGAGCTAAGTTTTGTCATCTGAGAGAAGGGGTTTGTGTCAGCTGACCCTGCAGGTTACTCTGGCCTTTGTCAGTCCAGGGAAGGCTCTGATCCATTCTGGGGCTGGCAGTCATTGCCTCTTGTGGCCAAGGACTCTAGGCTTTTGGGATGGCTGGGTCTCAGGCTCTGGTCTTAGACACAGCCATGACTCCTCCTGGGTCACCTATGAATCTGGAGGCTTCTGCTGGGAAAGCAGCTCAAGACTCAGGCTCTGGAGTGGCAGCTGGTTGCCAGGGAAACTCTGGCTTCTGGGAAGAAAGGAGCTGGAGGACGGACTGGAATGTGTGTGCATTTTGGATAGAACCCCATGTCCCCCCATGCCTGGAGGAGGATGATCCTCCCTTACTGGTTGGGCTAGTCCTGTGCTTTCTGCCCTGTGATCTCTTTGACCTTCGCAAATGCGTCTACTCTTCTTGAGGAGGGGAGGCATTTTTTTGAGGCCTGGCAGGGCAGGGCCCAGGGACACAGCAGGCGGGGCCCAGGGGCTGCAGGGCGGTTACTGGGTGGCCCCTCCTGCTGCCTCAGGCATGTAGCCCCTCTCCCGGGTAACCTAGGGGCTGGCAGGCATTGAATAGCAGCCCACTGGTTGCCTTACCATAGCATTGTAACTCCCAACAGGGAAGTGGAGAGCCAGCCAGGGGACTGGGAGGCAGCAGAGCCCTCCCTCTGTTGTCCCCCCCCCCATTGCCTGCACCCCAGAGGGCTCCCAGGAGGCCGGAGTGAGGTTTCCTCCCCTCAGCTGCCACCTCTGAGGGCTCGGCTGTCCCCTCCCCCAAGGCAGGCCCACTCTCTACAAAGCCAGGTCCAGCTGGAGAGTGAGGGGCACAGGCTTACTGGTCTGGCCAGGCTGCCCAAGGGTGCAGGGTACGCAGGGCCCAGGGCAGGACCAGGCACAGTGCCATCCAGTGTCCCCCAGGCCTCCTGGGATAGCTGTGGAGACCTCCCCTCTGAGGAGCTGGGCTGCTGCGGCTGGCTCTGAGGTCAGTGCTGGGGCTGCAGAGAAGGCCTGGTGAGGGTGGGGGATGAAATCCTTGCTGGGGGTTGGGGAGGACATAGGGTATGTTTAGACTGGAAACAAGGCCCGGGAGGGCCACAGCTGTGCTAGGCCACACAGCAGTCTCCTTGCTGTCACACCTAGCTTTGAGGGACTCCAGAGGTAGGGAGAAGGCTGGACATGGGCTTGCAGGAGTACGTCCAGAGCAGGGCTCTTGGGAGGGGAGAGCTCCACTGCCCTAGGCGATTCCCAGCCTGGCCTGGTGGCTGCAAGGGCACCAAGTGAACCTGGCGTCGGACTGGGACAGTGTCCGGCTGTTTTCTAGCGTTCCAGGTCCCAGGCTGCCACAGGAGCCACATGCTAATGGCAACCTCCCTTAGGACGGATTGTTTATTTTTAATCAAAGCTGGTGCCAAAACCTAAAGACCATTTGCCAGCCTGACAGTTCTCTGGACTCCTCTGCAGGCCCCAAAATACCATCAGAACAAGTCGGATGGAGAACTACCCTTTTCTGACCCCAGCCAGGCACTGCCAGGGCAAGACCCAAGCTGAGTCTCTCCTTGTGGGAAATGGCAGGGGGCAAACCCTATCCCTCCTCCCGCTCAGACCCAAGGAAACCCAGCCCACCTACGCGGCCCAGCTCGAGCACTCTCCAGACAGGCATCACAGTTTCCACTGGCAGCTGGGAGGTGTCCTTTTCGGCCTGCAAGTGGGGGTGGGGCAGTAGGGCATGGGTGGGAGGCGCAAGTGGGGTGGGCAGCTCTGGGTGCCCTCAGTCGGCTGGGTGAGGGAGCCAGGAGTTTAGGTCCTGCAGCTACCGGTGAGTGCCTGGGGTGGGATGGGACCCAGGGGGCGGGAGCCTGGGCATCAGGCTCCTCTCCCCACTGCCTGCCCAGGGATTCTCCCAGCTTCCTACGGGAGCCTCAGCATGATTGAGCGTATGCTGGGCTTCGGTGCTGGAAGTTTCAAGCTGGAATGACACTAAGCAGCAAGTGGGGGAAGGAGGAGGCTCTGCGGTCCCCGGCGCCGGGAGAAGCCAAGGTCAAACAGAAAAGACAAGTCTTTCTGAGGCCCTCTTCTGGATTTCTTGGCCCAGGTCATAGAATTTGAAGATCACAAATGCTGGCCCATTAGCTGGAGCCCAATGATGTGTTTAGTTTGGCCTGCACAGTGTTTCAAATATTTCAAAATTCATTTCCAATTTTTTTGGAATTGAGTTTATTTGGCTTTTGCATTCTCTTCCCCTACTTCTTTCTTGCCTTAAATATATTTTAGCTGCTAATATTTAAGCATCAAAAACATTTGCCTTAAAAAAATAATCCAGGTTTCTGGCTTCCTTTGGGAACCAGGGGCAGCTTGGCATATGGGCCCGTGCTTTGAACTGGCACCACCAGCCTGGGGTCCCAGTCAGTGCGCCCCAGGGAGCCGCCCACCCATCCCCTTGGGTCCAGAGGAAGCTGAGAGACAGGTTCTGGCATCAATGTCTTCCATGTCAGGCACATTTCAATCTGACCACTTCCTCGATGGATGATCGTGAAAGATCATGGTAATGCCCTGCAGTGAAAGGTTTTAGGCAGCATCCAGCCCAACTGGTCAGCTCTTCATGGGCTTGGGGAGATGGTTGGGGGCCTGAGGGGTGGGGAGGTCATGGGGCCAGAAGTCAGGGATCAGGTTCTGGCCTGTACTTGGTCACAGCTCTCAACACCACCTCAGGCTCGACCCTCCCCCTGAGCCTTGGTGTCCCAGCATGCTGTGCGAGTAGTCTGGACTGGATCAGGAAGCAACGGCAGAAATGTGGGGAGGGGAGGGAGAGGCAGGCAAAATGAGGTATACAGAGAGCCTGGGGGGGGTGTGCCAAGCTGGGTGCCAGCGCCTCATCTAAAAGGAACAGCTATGGTTGGAGGTGAAATTCTAAAATTTCAAGCAAAGCCAGGTACCCTGGTATTATTTGACATCTCTTAAAAAAAAAATAGTCACAATTAAATTAAAAGCACTACAAAGACCTACTGAAACATGCCTGTGCCTTTTGCAGTCCTGACTTTAGACAGCTGCTAGGGTCCTTGTCAGGCAACACAGGTATCTTATAATCTAGGATGTGCCCCTGGTCACAGGGCAAGTTACTAATGTATTTGATCATAGACAGGAACTGATTTTAAAATGTGGGAAGGCACTGCTCCCTGTGCAGGAGAGGTAGCAGAAAAAGGCCCCAGGGAGTCAGGCCGGGCATCTTCACTTATCAGCTATGAGACAAGCCCCTGGGCCTGACCCCTCTGGGGGTCCCACAGACCTAACCCCTGATGTGGCCACAATGCTATCCGATTTCACACTGCCCTGCCCCCACCAGATTCCCCAGGAGTCTCTCTCACCTCTAGTCCTGGCTTCCCAGATCTGCCTCTGAGCTGCCATCCCTTTTCTGCTGCAGGCACCATGAGCACAGAGGGACCCAGCCTCCCCAGCCCCTCAGTCTCAAGCACCGGGGCCTTCCTCACTGCCCCAGGCACTCCTGGGACTCTCACAGAGGCGGCAGCGGCCACCCTCCCTGTGCTCATCGCCCTGGCTGGCATCTTCCTCCTGCTGGCCTCCTGCCTGCTGTTCCTGGCACTCTGCAAGCCGGCCCTGCTGGACCCGAGCCGCTGCCGGGCACATGAGTGCCTGCCTCACCATGCTGTGAGCCCCAGCGAGCCCCAGCTGCAGTTCTGGAAGCGCCTGGGCTCACTCCGCAGCTCCCTGCCCAGCTTCCAGCGTGGCGGGCCTGCCCCTCGACGCCCCCTGCCAGGACACGATGACAGCCTTGGTGACAGCGACTACACAGATTCTACCAAGATGTGACAGGAACTCCACACACAGGCCCTGGCCCCCACGTTACCTGCAGATCCTCCTACTGGCACGGCAGCTGTAGGACGGCAGCCCAAGCAACCCGCACCCTACATGCCCCCCAGTGTTTCTCTGTGTGCCTAGTCCCAGTCCTTTCCCACAGATGGCCCTGGAAGAAGACCTTCTTTCTGCAGAGCCCCTGGATCACAAATCAGGACAGATCAGCAGGGGTTGAACATAGGTTAAGAGGATCCTGTCAGGGCAGGCGTCCTCCAGCGGTGGGACCATCCAGACTTCTAGGACAGTTGTGGGACCTCTGGCCTAGGCCATCTGCGTGTGATCTCTGTGTGTCACTGACTGACTTGTCAGTGTGGGATTCTCAGACTCTTGGGACCTGGGCTTCTCTGCGCAAGGCCAAGGCTAAAGGCTTTGTTTGGGTCTCCATTTTGGGGAGTGTACAGAGGGCTTTGTTCTTTCCTCAGAGCCAGCTAGCCAGGCCCTACTCACCACAGGGTCCGTACCCACCCTGCTGGAACCCAATGCAGCCAGCCAGGTCTTCTCCAGGACGGCCTTAGGTTTGCCTCGCTTCAGTTTCCAAAGCTTCACTGGCTCCCTCATTCCCACTGGACACGGACAAAGCTCCTAGCCCCATACATGGTGCACTCCTGAATTCAATGTGTCTCCAGAAAAACAGCACCACCTGTCCTCCCTCTCCACCTCACGCTCCAAACAGTGCCCACCCTGTGGAAGCCTCCAATGTTCTCCAGCCAAACTGTCTTGCCTGGAACTCCTCTCCTCCTCCTGCGGCCTGCATGTCTTGCCTGTGCCGCTTTCCTCCAAGCCTGGGAGCTTGTGGAGAGCTGGATCTCATCCAGCAACTCGCTATGACCCGCTAGCTTCCAACACAGAAGTATCAGACCTTATTTTGGGGCAAAAGTGGCTCAAGCTACATGCATCCTTACGCCCAAAGCAGCAGGAGACCTGTTAGAAGCCTGCACAACCCAGGATCTCTCTGCCCTCTGACAGCCCCAGAAGGAAGCCCTCTCTCTAGCCAGACCCTGATGGAAGAGCCATTGCTCCTTCCTGCCTGCTTTCTCTCTCTCCTTCCAGGTCAGTCTGACCTAGACGGGGAGCCTAGCTTTGCCAGAAGCTTCTACAGGCATGGGAGGTGGCGCCCAAAGACCTGAACTTCTTGAGAAGTCAAGGAAGCCTGTCATGACTTGGATCTGGATGTCTCCCACAGAGCCTCATGCAATCATAGATATTTTAGAGATGGCTGGGCTCGAAGGTGTATGATTACTGAATTAGTCCACTGATTGGTTTGGCATAGTTCTGGGTAGGATTAAGAGCTCTCTACCCTGGCTGTGAGCACTACCTGCCCTAAGGGTGGGTAACCTGGATAGAGCAGAAGGGACAGGAGGTGGGCTGCTGTGGTTGCTTGGCACCGCCCTGCCCTGCTGCCTTCCACCCACCATGAGCTGTTCTCTGTGACGCCCTCTGCTGTGCCATCCTGCCTCAGAGCAAGCCAGCTGTGGACTGAAACCTCTACAAACTATGAGCTATAATAAACGTTTTCTCCTTTAACTCTGGGTGTTGGCTATTTTGTCTCAGCAACGAGAGAATTAAGACAGAGCCTTACTTATGTTACTCCCAGACTAGATTTCTGTCCTGAGTAGTGTTGTGTAAACAGAAACCAGTTCTCGGGGTACAGCCTCCCCCAGCAGGCTCTGTTGCTCTGTTCTTCCTGCCTCCTCCTGGTTTGCTTCCCCAGGGCCTGAACCCTGTGGGTCACTCACCATTGTCCTTGGCCAGCGGGCTCTGCTTGGCAGAGGTTTTCAGTGGGGGTGCGGTGCTGTCTGGAGGCCCAAAGGACAAGGACAACCTGCTAGGGGTGGGGGCAGGACTCTCAGAGGTCTGTCTGTACCTCTTGGTTGGGCAGGCTGAGTCTGGTGTGCCTATCTGTAAGCCAGGGTGGCAGACATGAGGCTGGATGGTGCCCCAAGTAGGGTTTTGCGGGGTTCTTCAGAACTGAGGTCAGAGGGGAACCCTCCTCCTGAGGCCAGACTCTTGTACAGCTCCCCCAGGGTTTCCTGGAATAGCTCCTCCCTCCGGGACCCTACCCCGCCTGCTCTATCCTCACACCAGAAAGTCGGCCCTGAGCCTCCCAGCCTTCATCCCTGCCAGTCAGGAACCTGCCCAGGGCAGGCCCAGATTTGCCATGCCTGGCTGAGCCTTGGAGTCGTTAGCAAGGCCCTGCAGCTGGTGAAGGGAGTCATTCATTCCTGGCCTCCCTCCCCACCTGGCAGTGAGGCTGGCTGGGAGCAGGAAGAGCAGAGAGTGAGCTCATTTTGGGGGTCCTCCTCCTCCTCCTTCTGAGCCTCTTAGCGTTGTCGCTCCTGCTCCCTGCAAAAAAGCCCTTTCTTCTTCCGCCTATTCCTTCCAAGAAGGGGCCTGGCCAAGGGCTGTGAAAGCCGCTCTGTTCTTGCCTGGCTCTCTCTGCTCCTTTCCGAAAATGTGTGATCTCTCCTCATCCTTGCTCTGAAAGGCTCCTGTCGGTGGGGTGGGGGGTGCAGAGCTGCAGGGGGAGGGGGTGCAGGGCCCTCCTGCTCTTGGGGGACCAGGGCCCTGTCCTCAGCTGACACTACCTGGAGCCCGTGCTCCCTGGGAGGGAGGAAGGACCTGGGTGCCCCTCTTCCCACAGTGCTGGCCCCTTCTGGAGCACAGGCCCGCCTTGAGCTCCTTCATCACCCAGCCTTCACGCTGAGTGCAGCGCTGTCTGCCCCCAGCCCACCACTTGCCCCAAGGGGCCATGGCCACCTGCCTGCACGATGCTGTGGCCCTCAGGGATGTCCTCAGGGATGTTGGCCTCATAGCTGCTCTGCAGGAAGATGGGTCGATTGTCATTCACATCCAGGACGGTGACAAACACAGTGGCCGTGCCCGTGCGCCGTTTGCCTACTGGGCCATTGTCTGTAGGAGATGAAGGACAGGTTTAGCAGCTGTCTAAGGGGCAGACTTCCTGGGCACTGGGTAGAAATGCACTCTGCTCTGCCTCACCTACACCAGCCTGTGCCCGGTAACTCCCTCAGCAGATCAGGAACGCCACCTAGTATTCACTCACATAACACCGGGGCAGGACCTCACAACAGCCCCATGAGTGGGCACTACTGTCCCCACTTCCCAGAGGAGGCAACTGAGGCTCAGATGGGTGGACAGGTTGAGCTCTAGGAAGCTATGTATGCTCACGTATTTTACAGAAGGGGTCTCTGATGATGTAATTAAATTAAAGATGTCGAGAGCATCCTAGATTATCCAAGGTGTCCTTGTAGGAGAAGAAGCGGAGGCAGGCCGGGTGTGGTAACATAGAGTACCTGCACTCTGAGGGAGGAGGGTGGCTTGAGCCTAGGAGTTTGAGATCAGCCTGGGCAACACCGTAAGAGTTTGTCTCAGAGAGAAAGACAGAGACAGAGAGACAGAAAAAGGCAGTGGAGACTTAGAGTAGAGGAAAGGACAGTCGAAGTGGCGCCACAAGCCCAGGCGCTCCTCCAGCCGCCAGAACTCCAGGTCGAGGGAGGGAGGATTCTCCCGGAGCCTTTGGAGGGCTGTGACCCTACCCACACCCTGCCCTGGAGCGCCTGACCAGGAGACAATCCTTTCTGTTGTTTTCAGTCACCAAGCTTGCGATGATTAATTCCAGCACTGAGGGCTGAGGCACTGGGTGGGCCCTTGTCCAGGACATGGTCCTCATCCTTGGCAGCAGCCCACAAGGGACAGGCAGAACAGGGGCCAGGGACACCAGAGCTTCTGGTCTCTCAAAAAATAAACATCTGAATTTTAAAATAAAATGTCTTGATTTCTTAGTTCACACCTAACTGTCATCCCTTATAAGCCAGATCAATCAGAGGAAGGGATGTACAGGTCAGATTCAGCAGGAGGGTCCTCAGCATTCGAGGGCCCCAGCCCTGCTGGGCTTCCAACCTAAGGTATGGAGGCCTCTGCGGGCCAGGAAGGAGGGGTGGCAAGGACAAGAGCCTCAACTCAGCTCTCGGGCAACTACGGTTGTCTCTCTTGGAAGTCAGGGCTAGGTGTTCAGGCGAGGCACCCTCATGCCAGAAGCAACCAGATAGCAGGAGTCAGCTGGGGACCAAGGGTGATTCCATCCCTTTTTCCCAGGCTGGCTGAGCACATATTGGGGTGCAAGTGCCTGCTCCCAGTTGGGTTCTCTCCAAACTTGCCTCCTACCGCCCTGAGCACCCTGCCTGTTTGTTCCAGTTGGGATACCAGACTGGGAAGGCTGCTGGAAAGTTGGATACCCTGTCTGCATGAAATAAAGGCTGGACTAGGGGGTGACAAGTCTGCAGAGGGATGGGTGGCACCCTAGGATGGGAAGAGAGTGGGGCAGAGGGCACAGGCTCCTGGGTGCAGCTGGGCTGGGGCAGGACTGCAGGCTGCAAAGTGAGATGCAAGCTCAATGCAAACACTGATGTGGGCATTCCTGTGTCCCCGGGGGTGCAAGGGACACCCAGGCCACATCACATTCTCCTTTTCCTCTGGAGTCTTCAAGGGCTCCCTATTTGATCCCTAGAGATCAAAGACCAAACTTCCAACTGAGTGCTGGGAACACACGACCCAGCCCTACTGGAGGGCAGCCTCTCCTTCCAGTGCAGGCCACACCCTGGGATGACAGTCTCTTACACACACCCGTGCACAACCCCGCAAGTGCACACACACTCACACACGCATACTCCAGGTGTTTGTGTGAGCTGGCCCTCTGCCCCAAGAGCCTGTGAGGCCTCTGCACCCATTGAAAGCTTGCCTGGCCCTCACGGCCATGGTGGGCGCCTGGTCCTGCGAAGCCTGTGTCCCTCCGAGGTCCCCCACTCTGACACTGAGGCCTGGGGTTCTGGGCAGATGAAACACTCCAACTCCAGGGATGGGCACCTCTCACATCCCTGACCACAGAGAGGGGCTTGGTGGGGGACATGGGAGCTAACAGAGCAGCTGCAGGCACTCTGTGGGGAAGGACTTCTGCCCTGCGGCTGCCTGGAACTCAGAGGGTGGAGAAGTGGGGCAGCTGCGGCCAGGGCCACCGCACGAGGCAGAGTGGAAGCAGTCACTGCAGGGACAGGCCTGATGGTGTTGCCCAGCCCTGAATCTAGTCACAGCTGTGGCTAGTGAGCCAGGTGGACAGGTTTTGTGAGCTCATATTGCTGAGGTCTATTTATTATTTTACTTTTAAAATTTGCAACTCAAAGAGCTCTAAGTGACTCGAAGGCAGCCCCAGATGCTGCTTCCTCCAGGAGGCCTCCCCTGTCCGCTGACCTGCCACGCTCCTGCCACCCTTTGTGCCTGATGCCCTGATGCCAGCCCTCCTCCCAGCTTTGTTTGGCCTGTGTTGCAGTCGGGCCTGCACACTGGTCTCCCTGTGGCCCTCGCCCAGCTTCTGCGTCTCACATACAGCACAGAGCACCAACCTCACGTTCCCAAGGGCTCAGGGACACTGGGGTACATCTGGTGGCCCTTTCTCCAGTCCACCAGCAATGACCACACTGGTGTGGCGCACACTGTGAGCACCTACCAATGGCCTCCAGGACTAGTGTGTACGCAGCAGTGGTCTCACGGTCCAGGCCCACCACCGTCCTCACCACGGCATCTCGGTAACCTACGCTGAACTTCCCGTCCACGTTCCCTCCTGGGGATGGAAGAGAGAGAGACAGAGAGAGGCCTCAGGACAGGCAGCCAGGTGAAGGGCAGGCCAGGGTATCTCAGCTCTGCTCCTGAGGGAGACAGGTGGGACCAGTCAGAGCACACTGTCAGCCTGTTTCTAGATGAACTGAGTAACCCAGGAGCCAGCACTGGCCTCTAATTCTGCCTGCTTCAGGGTCTGATGGGTGCTGCCTGCGCCCGCTGCAACCCAGAACCAAGAGCTGGACACTTAGGGAGCACCTACTGTGTACCAGGCACTCCCTGTCCCGAGGCTGTGTGTGCTGCCTGGGTGTCTCTTCTGGGCTCACTGCACAGACCAGCCCTTCACGCTGCCCCAGCCTGACTCATGGACTTGGCTGAGCAGGCAGCTCGGGTCGGGGCTGCAACCTGTGGCAGAGGATGGTGGAGTCGAGAAGCTTGCCCAGGTGCTTCATTGTGGGATGGCTGAGGGGCACAGCACTCCGGGTGGCCCTCGTGAGACACCATACAGTGAGGTCAGGAAAGGTGGGCAGGAGAAGGTGTGGCTAGTCTTCCCAAGCCCAGGGCCCAGAGGTGAGTGAGGGCTGCCTCTCTGGGAGGATGGCTCCTTGTGTTGTGGCAGGCATGTGGCATTTGGGGCAGCAGAGGGCGCCACTGCACCAGGCTTGGGGCCATCTGGGCCCAGCACGGCTCAGTTCCTGGTAGAAAACTGTGAAGAGTTCTCAGCAGGTCTGTGGGACCCAGGCTGCTCTGGTGCTGGGGCTACCAGGAGTGCCTTTGTCCTGATTGGTTTGTCCCCAGGGAAAGTCTCCAGACCCCCAAACCTCCAGCACAACC